TGTTCGCTTATTAGTACGCGTTTTCTTTCTGAGACGTCGACTGGTGGTTATTTCTCCGCCATTCATCGCTTTCAGTTAGGCCATTAAAAATATGTCTTGCTCGGATCGAGAAAGAGCTTGAAACGCCTCACGTAATTCAGCAAATTTTTCTCTCGGAATCTTTTTTGAACAACCGCAATTGCAATCTGTTTCCAAGAAACGCATTGCTTTTTCGTATTCAGTGGAATTGTTATAATTATAATTTTTCATATATGGGTAATCCTATATATATTTTTTATCATTTTGTAATTTTATGACCATTTTAAGTAGTATTAGTATATCAAGCATTAGCATTAACAAGTTGAAATATGTCAGAACATAAAATTTTTTTTTTTATTCAGAATATGTTGCAAATTATATTCACATTCTTACATAATAATAAGCACAAATAAAAGAGGGATGGTTAAAATGGAGATATCTTAGTCTTTATTGTATGGCTTATTAGAAACAAACTTCATTTCTTACAATTATAATGCATCAAACGGGTAAAAGCTGAGCTTGCGCTTCTTTCCAGGGTGTTTTTGCTTGTAATCTTCCATGCCTCGTTTGGCCTGACTATGCTTTTCGTAGAAGTCATCCTTGCTGATGTATGGCTGATTTTCTACAACTTCTTTGGAGGTAACTTCGCTGACTCCTGGGATATATTTCTCCATTCTTTTCAGCTCTGAGAAGTTGGGATTGACATCTTTAGTTGAGAAAAACACAGCACGCGAAGTAAATACTGGACTGAAATACTTTTCGAAATTGTCCATTGCAATTACAAGGGAGGAATCACGAGAGATGCCAGGGGTGAATGGCTGGGTTGTGAAAAGAATTGTTATATGACAGTGCTCAGCAAGCTTATGGCGAAGGTCCCCTTGAGTAGCTATTGAATTCTCCAAGTTTTTAATCTCTTCGTTGGCGAGATCTTCACTTGTGAATTCTTCTGAGAGGTAGTCATACTTGCATTGAAAGATATGGAGTTGTTTTTCGAGTCCAGGAGTGATGACAGTGGGCTGGTTCAGGGTGATTGTCCTAACAACGAACACATCCCCCCACTTGGCAGATGAGCCATTGACAATCAAATTCTCACCATTCTCCCAGTTGATAGTCTCACTGTTGAATTTATCTGTCAAAATCGAACATGGGAACTGCTCTTGAGCTAGATAGACAGAAAGATCCTTCAGATTCACTTCAAGATCTAATGTAGCTTGAGTCCCATGGGCACCACAATACAAGTCCTTCAGATAAGCTGTTTGTTTTCCACATTTGATCATCAGGTTGGTGTGAAATGCCACATGAAATGCCACAAATAGTTCCCATTCTTGCCAATACATTTCCTTTTGCAAATTAAATGTCTCTGCAAGTTTTTGTTCGATGATTTGTAAAATGTCATTGTAGATGCAGATAAATACTATGGAAGATTGGGTAATACTTAGCTCAAGACTTGAAGATAAACAGTCTAGAGAAGAATGCAACTGATTCTTAGATGCTGTATATATATTGACAAGGTGGATTGATGTTGAGTTCATTAATAAGGAAAAGCTCAGATCCTTGAATCATCCAGTAGCTAAAATCCTTGCTGTACATACTGATGGCAGGGAGGCAAAAAATGCTGATTCTGATATGGCAAAAGGACTTGAAGCTCAGCTGTTCTTAGCCAGAGGGGCATGTATCATGTTAACAGCAAATCTGTGGACAGCAGCTGGGTTAGTTAATGGCTCCATGGGGACTGTTCATGATATTATCTATAATGACCAAGGACCATCATACCTTCCTACAGTAGTCTTCATTAGCTTTGATAAGTACAAAGGGCCAACCATTACTGCATTAGATGGAACCAAGGTTGTCCTGATCACACCAATCTGATGTACTTGGGGAAGCAAAAATGGAAGAGTGTGTTCGCGATTACAATTCCCAGTGTCTTGCCTGGGCCATCACAGTGCACAAAAGTCAGGAACTCACCTTGCCAAGAGTTAAAATAGATCTTGGAGCAGAAGAATTCGCAGCAGGTCTTTCTTTTGTAGCAGTGTCTCGTGTGCATGCTCTACAAGATCTTCTCTTTAAACCTTTCAGTTTTGACAGGCTCGAATGAATCAAGCTTTGCAGAAGACTACAAGAAAGGAAGGAAGAAGAAAAAAGGTTAGTTTTATTGTCACAAAATAGCATAGAGTAAAGCTTATTATTGTTTAAAAGTAATAAAGGCGAATATTTGTTTTGTTTTTCCTGAGAAAATAATAATGCAGACGCGATCAATAACGTTATCACATCAATCACAATCATTGGTCGAGATCATGTGACGCACAGAGAAATTCATGTGATCGACTTTTTCACAGTGCGTAGACAGTAATAGTCCTCCGCTTTGCTCCGGACAAAAAAACCATTATATTAGGAAGGCATCTGAAAGTGTTTGACAACATGATTAAATAGCCAGACTTGACAATTTATTTATGCTTGCAATATTAATATTGAAATGCAAAGCAGATATTATTGCTGTAAATATTATGACTTCTATTATACACCCTGCATGGCAGACACAAACTTGACATAATTACTATTACACGACAAGATTGAAACAGAATGCTGAGTTTACTTTTATAATTCCGATCTTATTATGACCAACACTCTGGTTACTCAACAATCAAGACTCTCCAATCTATCGAATCATCACAGTAAACTACAAGAGACAGGCCACACTGTTAAGATCAGAGTTCTATAGTAAAGGAGTGAGGCCCCTCTTAACTCAAGGTCGTTATTTCTCCATAAAAACTTGCAGTAGAATATGCCATAAATATGTTTCCTCGTGTACAAACAAACAATATTTGTCCAACCCGTTGCGCATAAAGTATCGAAATTGAATATCACTGAGCTTATTTGATCTGGTCAAATTGGGTCAGATTGAGATTTAGTCAAAACGTTTATACTAATACATCTATATTTTTATTCAAAAGTTCTTTCATAAATAATCAATAAAGTAATATATAATATTGTTCTTGTCTATGAAATTGTCATACTCTTAACTTAATCATATCTCTATATTGAGCAAGTTATTTGTAGACAACCTGTTCTAACTAACCTCATATCATAAAATGTTTGTTTCATTAAAGTTGACATCAATATATGGCTAATAGTTCTGTCATACTTTTTCATTAGTTAGGAATTAATAGAGCTTCAAAAACACTATCTATCAACATATTCAATAGATGTTCACAAAACAACCATATCAGTTTCAACAAATATTTGAAACACTGTTTGTTGAATTATTCTTAACACATTTGCCATGCTCCATGCATGAATGACACCTTGTTCAGCAGCCTTTTGGAACCATTCAGTTGCTCTCTTAACATCTTTCTTTACTCCAATTCCATACTGGTAGCAAACACCAAGATAAAATTGTGCATGAGGATTTCCTTTGTCAGCTGCTCTTTGGAACCACTCAACTGCCTTCTCTGCATCTTTTCCTACTCCAATTCCATGTTGGTAGCAATAACCTAAGTCATTTTGTGCATCAACATGCCCTTGTTCAGCAGCCTTTTGGAACCATTCAACTGCCTTTATTGCATTTTTTCCTACTCCAATTCCATTGTAATAACAAGAACCAAGTTCATACTGTGCATTAACATGCCCTTGCTCAGCTGCTGCTTCATACAATTCAACTGCCTTTTTAACATTTTTTTCTACTCCAATTCCGTAATAATAATAATAGCCAAGCCTATACTGTGTATAATCATCTGGCTTCTTAGTATTAGCATTTCTTTCAATAATTTCATCTTTCAGGCAATAACCAACTGATTTTTGAGACAATTCATAACGATAGCAAACACCAAGATTATTCTTTGAATTAATATGTTCTTGTTCAGACTTTAGAGAGTCACTGTTTCTAAGAGCATACCACATTAACCCTAT